CTTACTTTCAAAACCCACCCATCTACCACCCTCGAAGACCTTTTGAAACTTGAACTACACAAACATGAAGAGGATATCAAAAATACCGTCGATCGTGCCATTAAAGAAATGAGTGTTACCAAAATTCTAGATGAGATAAAAGCCACCTGGTCTGATATAAAATTCGATACCGAAATCCATCAGCAACGTGCTGACATTCGATTACTTAAAGTATCCGAAGGTCTTATCGAAACTTTGGATGACAATCAAATGCAAATACAAAATATTGCCACCTCCAAACATGTAGAATACCTTTTGGATAAACTCACCCATTGGCAGCGAGTATTAAGTAGTGTGGATTTATTTATAAGCAATTGGTTTGATGTGCAAAGAAAATGGGTTTATTTGGAGTGTATTTTCATAGGCTCTCCGGATATAAGAGCACAACTGCCACAGGAAGCTCAATTTTTCGAAGAAATTGATGAGGATTTTACCCAACTCCTTAAAGAAGTAACCGGAGTACGTTATGCTATAGTTATAGTGCAAGATCACCAGCATGTATTTTCTTCGTTGGCTATACTGCAGAAACGTCTGTCGGTTTGTGAAAAGGCTTTGAATGAATATTTGGAAACCAAACGCTTGGCATTTCCCCGCTTCTACTTCATATCATCGGCTGATTTGTTGGATATTTTATCAAATGGCAATAATCCTTTAGTTATAGATCGCCATTTTATAAAACTATTTGACTCGATTCTACGTTTAGCCTATGAATCCACTACCAAAAAAGCTTTGGGTATGTTTTCTAAAGAAAATGATGAATATGTTCATTTCACCTCTCCACAAGGTGTTTTATGTTCTGGTCGTGTGGAAATTTGGCTTAACGATCTTATCAATGAAATGCGCAGCACTTTGCATGAACTCTTCAAAAGAGCCTTAAATGTTTATCTGGAAAAGACTCGCGATAAATGGCTTAACGATTGGCCAGCTCAAGTGGCTTTATGTTGCAGTCAAATCTGTTGGACTGCCGATGTTAATCGTGCCTTTGCCTGGATGGAGGAAGGTTATGAGGCGGCCATGAAAGAATTACACAAGAGGCAAATAATTCAGCTGAATGCTTTGATTAATTTATTGCTAGGAGAACTGACACCAGGAGATCGTCAGAAAATAATGACCTTGTGTACCATAGATGTGCATTCCCGTGATGTGGTGGGCAAAATCATACAGGCACGTGTCGACAGTTCATTGGCCTTCCAATGGCAGAGTCAATTGCGCCATCGTTGGGATGATGACACTTTGGTGGGTGGCACGAGTGGTGAATTAGAAAGGGATGCTGATTGTTTTGCAAATATTTGCGATGCTGAATTTCGTTATGCCTACGAATATTTGGGCAATACATCACGTTTAGTTATAACACCATTAACGGATCGATGTTATATTACATTAACACAGGTACATATGTGCATATTTGTAAAGTTTATGTGGAAAATATATGTCTACACCGTTTGAATCATTTATCTCAGTAGAATGTTAAGGAAAAGTACTTTTCAAATTATTTAGGTTCAGTAACCAAAGTTAAGTTACATTTGACTTTGCGATCAGGCCTCCTTACATATCAATTTGTTAAGCTTATATCAGTAGGAATCCTCCAAACTTGACCTGTCGAACTAAACCTTTTTGTTAACTTTGAGTTGCTAGATAATATGTTTAGGAACTAAATTAAGGTTTCATACCGGACTTTTGTGCTTTTGCATTTATGTGTACTAATATCCCAACTCTTTGACCTTATATTTGATCCTCCAAACTTAATGTAGCGCGCACTATGAAGTCGCTGATCATAACTACACTTCATCGCTACATATTGGGTCGTTAAACAATTGATTATATCCTATATTAATGTAGTCATTGATAGCGTCTTCTCTGAAACCGAAGTTAAGTCCTTGGCCTCCGCATTCTGGGAGTCCAGTGATAGTGATCTACAATAGTAGTTCATAAGCCATTTGGGAACCAAGAAAAGTAATTAGTGAATTTCCGAAACTATTCTAATAAATGAGATTTTATAAGATACATACATATGTATGAATCTTATAATGATGCCAACTATGTATTCGTATACCATTTCCAGCAAAAGGGAAATGGTGTTGTAGATTAACTCCACTTGTATAACAGTGCAAACATTTAAAATCCAAAAACTCATATTTTTCCATTTAAATTTCTCTTCTTTTTTTTGGCGCTTCAAAAATTCACCAACATTCACGGTATTCGCAAAACTATTTCGCAATCATTACAAATAACGACTGCCAAAAATGAAAAACAAATAAAACAACAAACCAACGTCAACGAAATGCATATAAAAACGATGACACTATAAGTCATTGCATCTTGTTATGGGTGGTGCACCAGCCGGGCCAGCTGGTACTGGAAAAACCGAAACCACAAAAGATCTAGGACGTGCACTGGGCGTAATGGTTTATGTGTTCAATTGTTCTGAGCAAATGGACTATAAATCCTGTGGTAATATTTACAAAGGTCTTGCACAGACAGGTGCATGGGGTTGCTTTGATGAATTCAATCGCATCTCGGTGGAGGTGCTGTCTGTGGTTGCGGTGCAAGTTAAGACCATACAGGAGGCTATAAAGGTAAGTGGGAATGGAAGTGGCAGCGGGAATGTTAGTTAGTGAGTAATGTTCAACATGTTTTTAAAACTGTTAATTAAAAACGAAATTGCGAAAGGTTGATTTTTATTTAGTTGTCTGTAACTACCAAGTTTGTGAGTGTATATGTATGTATTTGTGTGTGAACTTCAAGCAATGAATAGATTACTTTTGTATTGCAACGTCTGACCAAAGATTATATGCTCAGATGCTGTTGATGACAGTAAAGATTTAAGTTTTATTTTTTTATTATTTTTCATCCTCACAGATGCACAAAACATCATTCGTATTCATGGGAGAAACAATACCTTTGGTGTCATCGATTGGCATTTTTATTACCATGAATCCTGGTTATGCTGGCCGTACTGAATTGCCTGAGAATCTTAAGAGTTTGTTTCGTCCTTGTGCCATGATTGTGCCCGATTTCGCATTGATATGTGAAATTATGCTTATGGCTGAAGGTTTCCAAGATGCTCGGTTATTGGCTCGTAAATTTATTACTTTATATACCTTGTGTAAGGAGTTGCTGTCCAAACAGGACCATTATGATTGGGGCTTGAGAGCCATAAAGTCGGTATTAGTGGTGGCTGGAACTTTGAAAAGAGATGACCATAGTCGTCCTGAAGATCAAGTTTTAATGAGAGCCTTAAGAGATTTTAATATACCCAAAATTGTCACCGAAGATATATCTATCTTTATGGGACTAATAGGTGATCTGTTTCCGGCTTTAGATGTGCCCCGCAAAAGAGTGTTCGATTTTGAAAAAACCATACGTCGAGCAGTCAATGATATTAAACTTCAACCGGAAGAAGGATTTTTAATGAAGGTAGTACAATTGCAAGAACTCTTGGACGTACGTCATTCCGTGTTTATAGTGGGTAATGCTGGCACCGGGAAGACCAAAATTTGGCAAACTTTGCGAGAAACATATCGTATACAAAAACTTAAACCCGTTTGCAATATTCTTAATCCAAAGGCCTTAACCAATGATGAACTATTTGGCATTGTTAATCCCACTACGAGAGAATGGAAGGATGGTTTATTCTCTTCTATAATGAGAGAACAGGCCAATATGACAAACACTAACCCCAAGTGGATTGTATTGGATGGTGATATTGATCCTATGTGGATTGAAAGTTTAAATACTCTAATGGATGATAATAAAATTTTAACATTGGCCAATAATGAACGCATTTCATTAAAGAAAGAAATGCGTTTGTTGTTTGAGGTAGGTCATTTAAAGGCCGCCACACCGGCCACAGTTTCCAGAGCTGGTATATTGTACATAAATCCTTTGGATTTAGGTTGGTCTCCGTAAGTATAGTCTTATTTAACTTCCATAATTTCTTAATATTACTGCTTGATTTTTAGTTACGTTTCATCTTGGCTGGAAACACGTTCTGATATGATTGAACGCGGTATTTTAACTGGTCTCTTTGAAAAGTATTTCCCCAAACTTTTACTAAGGCATAGAGATTTCCGTCGTATTATTCCCATTTCGGATATAGCTGTCATACAAATGTCTTGCAATCTATTGGAATGTTTACTCGATTCTCAGGTTGAACCTGATGTCACACCCTCAACCAATGTCGTGAATCCTCATAGTTTACATCACAGTGGTGTAGCTCCCGATTCCTTGGAATTGTACATTGAATTAATATTTGTCTATGCCGTTATGTGGGGCTTTGGTTCGGCTTTGTATCAGGATCATATAATCGATTGGCATCGGGAATTTCATAAATGGTGGACAACAGAATTCAAAGATATTAAACTACCTTCCCATGGCACAATATACGATTATTATTTGGATGTTAGGTCAGAGAAATTCATCCGCTGGTCAGAGTTGGCTAGTCAAAAACAAATGCCCGTTCTACCAGAGCCCCACTTACCCATACAAAATATATTAATACCCACTATTGAAACCACTCGTCTGGTATATTTTCTAGAACTTTTGGTAAATCGTAATCTGCCCTGTATGCTGGTGGGTAATTCAGGATGTGGCAAAGGAGCCATATTCCGTGAATTCTTCTCTTTATACGCTAATGCTCAAGATTCAATCGATGTCTTAGGGGTTAAACCACAACTTCCCAATTCAAGACGTTTATCTCAAGCAACTCCTAAATTAAAGGCATTAATATCCACCACAGTGCAAACAACTCACTTCAATTTCTATACATCATCGGAAATATTTCAAAAAATACTTGACCGTCCTTTGGAAAAGAAGTCGGGCAGAACATATGCCCCCTCGGGCGCCAAAAGACGTTTAATATATTTCATTAATGATTTAAATATGCCGGAAGTGGATGCTTATGGCACCGTACAGCCTCACACAATAATGCGACAATTTATGGACTACAAACAATGGTAGGTCCACATTTTCTTAGATAAAGCAGAAATTTAATTTTGTTTATTTCAAAGGTATGATCGTCAATGTCTGCAATTAAAAAACATACGTTACTGTCAATTTGCTGCCTGCATGAATCCCACAGCTGGCTCTTTTACCATTGATCCCCGCTTACAAAGACACTTTTGTGTCTTCTCTGTTGCCTCTCCTAGTGAATTTACTTTGCAATATGTTTATGGCAGCATATTAAGCGCACATTTAGAAAATCCCTCCAATAGTTTTAGCAAGGAAATTAAATCCATTGGTCAGGTCTTAGTTAAAGTGGGCATAGCTCTGCATAAACGCATGGAATGTGGCTTCCTACCAACAGCCGTTAAGTTCCACTATATCTTTAATATGCGCGACTTGACTCACATTTATCAGGGTCTATTGAATAGCTTGGGTGCTCCCAATATCGAAACCAACAATATGGTCTGTACGAGAAATTTTGGCGGTACGATTTGTAATAAACCAGCCGATCTTATACGTCTTTATGTTCATGAAGCTTTTCGTGTATACCACGATCGTTTAGTAGATCCTTATGATATTAAATCATTTCGCAGTTCTATACGCGATATATTCAAAAAAGATATAGAGGACTTTGATGAGGAGTATGTATTCTCGGATCCATTAATCTATTGTCATTTTGCTCAGTCGCTAGCAGATCAGAAGTACATGCCCTTAAAGAGCTGGGATTGTTTGTATCAACTGTTAATGGAGGCTCAGGCAAATTATAATGAAGTTATTGGTTACATGAATCTGGTGCTATTCGAGGATGCCATGAAACATGTGTGTCGGTAAGTTGTGTTTAATTGTGGTACGTATGATTAATTTAAATTATATTATTTACAGTATCAATCGTATATTGGAGAGTCCTCGCAATAATGTTCTACTGGTGGGTGTGGGAGGTTCGGGTAAACAAACTCTAGCCCGTTTAGCTTCCTTTATTTCCTCGTTTAGTGTTTTTCAAATACAAATAAAACGAGGATTTTCCCTGCAAGACATGAAGGAGGAAATTGGAGCACTCTACATGAAAGTTGGTTTGAAAAATATGGCCTCAGTATTTCTAATGTCCGATGCTCAAATACCCGATGAATCTCTACTAATGCTTATAAATGATTTGCTAGCGGCTGGTGAAATACCCGAACTATTCAGTGATGATCAACTAGATACCATAGTCAATGGCATACGCAATGAGGTTAAACAAAGCGGTACTCTCGATACTAAAGAAAATTGCTGGAGATTTTTTGTAGATAAAGTAAGACGACTACTACGTTTAATACTCTGCTTTTCACCGGTGGGTCAAACATTACGTGTACGTGCTCGTAAATTTCCCGCCATACTAAGTCACACCTGCATTGATTGGTTTCATGAATGGCCAAAGTCAGCTTTGGAATCTGTATCACAAACATTTTTAAGCGAAATTAACCCACAAATATTACCAGTAAGTAGTAGTAGTCGTAGTATAAATGTATAATATCTGTGATAGTCTACAACTACAGCAATAACAAAATGAAAAAAATTACAAAATGAACATTAATTTAATTTTCCTTCGACATCCCTTGCAGCGTGAACTTATTAATCCTGTCGGTTGTTTTATGGCCTACGTACATGGTACAGTGAATCAGATTTCAAAGATTTATTTGCAAAACGAAAAACGTTATAATTATACGACACCGAAAACATTTCTCGAATACGTATTTCTATACCGCAAATTGTTGGTGGATCGGAGTGGTGAACATACAAGCCGTATACAACGCTTACAGAGTGGCATGGCAAAATTGGCAGAATGTGCACGTCAAGTAGATACACTAAAGGTGAGAAAAATTGAATTCATAAATACTTATACATATGTATGTACATATGAATGTGCACGTGTTTCACGTACGTATGTATGTATGAACTTATACAGGTGAAATAAAATGCAGAAAAAATGCCAGAGTTTAAATGCAATATTTTTGTTTTAGTGTTGACTAAATTCGCTTGGTATTCGGTCCACGAAAATAATAAATACACGCCTGGTACCAAATTGACACCAAACTGTTTATAATGTTTCAATAACATCCGATGTCTATATGTTAACAAACTTGGTAAGCTTCCAATCCGTTGCCAATAGTGAGCTTATCACGTTTGTTAACATTTAGACAACGGATGTGTATAAAATTCAGATTTCGACAACGAATTGTTGAAATTTAACAACGTTGCGTTGTCAACATTACATAGTATTTGAAAAATTATAAACCCTATGGTGTCAATTTGGTACCAGGCGTGTATATTTCCTTTTCCCTCTGTGTAATGTTTTGTACTTTCAGAAACAATTCCATGGAACATTTGTTAGAGATAATGATTAAGATTTGTGTTTTTTTAAATGTCGGTTGAGTTTTTTTTGGAATTTTATTTTGTCTATTTATTTTCACAAGTTGGAAGATGCTTCTGAATAAGCTTGGGCTATGCAATCATTTGGGGTTGCCTACTGTTAAATTACAGCCGAAATGTTTAATGTAGTTGAAGAACCCATATATCTTCATGTTCTATCTCTAATTGATCTCTTTTGAAAATTCTGGTAAAATTTACATGACGCCGATTAGCCAAACTTTCATAGTAACGATTCGATTATACTCGGAAATCCAATTAGATTAGAAATACCAAACATCTCTCAATGAAAAAATAAAACATTATGACACTCACCTTAAGCTGAGGTAGACATCGCGACTCCGAGGGTTTTTTTTAATATTTTCTCTTCATCCAGTGGATAAAAACACATGATATCATGATACCACTGATGAACGATGTTGTCCACAGAGCTACGGTGAGTATGGCGTCACGTATATAGCAACAGCTACGAAGTAAAATGTGGCGTTCCGTAATACACGGATGTGGAGGTATCTGCGAACAACTAGACTTTTATTAACAGAGTCATCGAGGCACCCGTTATGATGCCTCGATCAACAGAGTGATCAATAACTAGAATGTGTACCGTACTCGACCATCTCAAGCATGTTTGGCAACGGACAAAACCTTGAAATCTAACCAATATTCAATCATCGGCAGTTTTCGCGGGTATAATATTTGTCCGATATTGTATCCCAAATACGATCTTTATAAATAGTTAGAATTGATAGGACAGTATTAACCGATATTAAAATCATGATAGTGCTAGTGTTATTCGAACTTATGTCATGTTTCCACTGAGAAGTTTTGAGCAAATCTAGAGACAGCAAAGTGACAAAATTTTTTCGAATATTCGAATAACAAAAACGTATAAGTTTACGTTTGGAATCTCCAAATCCCTGAAATCGATTATCATAGAACACTAATAACTTTCATCCAACACATTCAACATTCAGTAAACCGAAAAAAATATTCATCTATTACATACACAGAGAAAGTATCGTGGCCACTGACTCTTAATTTATGAGTTTGTTGCAAGTTGCATACACGCACATTCATACACACACACACACACCTAAAAAACAAATACACAATCACATTTATAACTACATATGCACATAGACCTTTTTGCCACATTTACTTTTACTTCACTATCATACATTGTGTATCAGTTTCCATGTGTAGTAGAGACATTATACACACCTTCGAACGACATTCAATTAGTGCGCGTAATTGAAACGTTGAATCCAACCAAAATGTGATTCGTAAATTCTTTTAAATCTTGTTTTTAATTTCATTCTTTCGTTATAAATTTTTTGTTTTACAATTCGTGTTTTTTTTTTCTTCTTTTGCAACTATGAATGTGTGCATGCCTGACTGTTCAGTGTCTGTGTAAAATGAATTGAAATTGAAATAAATTTTCTGCTTCAATTTTTACTTCGTATCGTAAGTTTATAATGAAAAATGTTGCAACATTTAATGGCCTTCGTTTGTCACCCAGTTTGGCTTTTCATTAACCTCATGCACTACACTTTATTAATGCTTATGAATCGAAAAAGTTTCAATATTCTGTAGTAATTGAATTTAAAGTGAAACATTATTGTATCTCGATTGACAAATTTAAACCTATCAACAGCATCACAATATTGATAACGGAAATGTATAAACAATTTAACTGGAAGCTGGGAAAATAAAAAGCCCCAAAAGTTAATACTTAAATGGCAGAAAGTTATTTTATTTTTATATTTAAGGCTTACTTTAATTCGTTGCAACTTAACAAACAAAAAAAGCTAGTGGAACCATTAACGAACCATTCTAGTTTCCCATAATAGTTTATTTATTTTAAGAGAACTAAATTCCATACAGTACTTAGTTTGCGTTTGTTAAATATTGACCTCTAAAGCTTAGGGCACTCTATGATGGGAAATAATACAAATCAATAAATTTGTCAACAAATTGAAGTAAATACTGAAACAAATATGTCCCCTCTTTAATTTTCAGAATCAATTGGCCGTACAGGAAATTGAATTAAATGCTAAAAATGCTGCTGCCGATAAACTCATATTGATTGTCAGTGCCGAAAGTGAAAAAGTTAAACATGAAAAACATATTGCTTCGGAAGAAGAGAAACGAGTACGTATTATCGAGGAAGATGTTACGTTAAAGACAAAACTATGTGAAGATGATTTACGTAAAGCTGAACCAGCTTTAGTTGCTGCCCAGGCTGCTCTGAATACTTTGAATAAAAATAATTTGACGGAGTTGAAGTCGTTTGGATCTCCGCCCAAGGCTGTGGTGAATGTATGTTCAGCTGTAATGGTTTTATTTGCTGTGAATGGTAAAATTCCCAGAGATCGTAGCTGGAAGGCGGCCAAATTAATGATGGTTCGAGTGGATCAGTTTTTGAATGATTTAGTCAATTACAATAAGGATAATATACATCCGAATGTAATTGAGGTATTGCAGGAATATTTGAAGGTAAGTTAAATGCTATTGATCTAGTTGTTGGATTTTCTTTTAACTATCTTCCTTCCCTTCAAAAATAAAAATGTTTCGCGTTTCTTATACAGATCTTCCTAGTGGTCATGGCAAAATCAGTGATGAACAAAGAACAAATTTAATACATTTATATGTAAACAATGATATGTATCTGAAAAGCCCCCAAATCTATGATTCAATTTTGAACAACTCCCAAGGAATCTTCTATAGGAAAAGCCCTTAAATCTATGATCGAGTTTAGAACGATTCCTTAGCTAATGTCACATTAATTGATCATTCTTTCCTTAATCTTTCAGATCAAGTGAAGAGAAAGTAAATTAAAATTAGTTTAATGATTAAAAACTGTCACGATTACCAGTACCTAACCAGAAGGCCAGAACCACACTTGCTTTCTAGAACAAAATCTCCTAACAGAGATGAACTAAAAATAGATCCGAAAAATTTAAATGGATCCTTTACATACGTTCATAGATAAGAATGTGTTATATATCTAAAACGTCCCCAAATCTGATATTACGAAAAGAACTATTGTACATTCATCCCTTCATCCTTCAGTCATCCTTGATTCCTTATTAATTTTTAGGTATTTTTCCAATTTCCTCATCTTCCAGGATCCCGAGTTCAAACCCGATAAAATCGTTCAAAAATCTGTAGCAGCTGCCGGTCTATGCGCCTGGGTCATCAATATACATCGCTACCATCAAGTTTTCCTGATTGTGGGTCCCAAACAACAGGCGCTTAAGGATTCCCAAAATGAACTGTCGGCCGCTAGAGAGCGCCTTGATTATCTAAAAGTGAAAATCAATAATTTGGAGCGAAAACTAAGCGAAATTCAAGCTGAATTTGAAGATGCCGTAAAAGAGAAACAAAAATGTCAACATGAGGCTGATAAAACCACGTTCACTATCGATTTAGCACATCGTCTAGTCAATGGTTTGGCTAATGAGAATATTCGATGGAAGGAATCTGTGCAGAAGTAAGATTTCTTAAAATCTGATTTTAATTTGAACTAATTCCAATACTGGTGAAGTTTGCCAATAAAACCTGTTACACTTATACACTTGCAATGTTGTAAGAGAATGGGAGTGACTAGTAACTAGTTCTTTAGGAGGTTCTTTAGCAATCAGTTCAAGTTTAACACATTATTTAATGAAACCTATCACTTCAAGCTTACGAAATTTGAAGAGGAAATATGAAACCAGCAGTTTTATTATTCAATTGTCCATTATAAATTCCGCAATATATTGGAAACCCCACAAGATACCCAATACTTAAGTGCAACTTATCTCAAGTTTAAACAATTTATTTTTAAATTCATTGCCCTCATAAAGCTATAAGAAACAAAAGCGATTATTAATATATATTTATATTTATGTACGAACTTATATGAACTCGTATAACAGTTCAGCACACAGTTCACATAAATAAGGCTTCATTTATGTTGTAATAAAATCAAACAACTTTTCAATTGAAAAAATTCCAACGTTATGAAAAGGAACAACTCTCATCGTACATTATTTACAACAATCCCTGGTATATACCAGTAACTACGTGATACCAGCATCCTTGGTGTACTTGTTAAAAAAAAAAAAAAGAAGAAAAACTCAAATATCAAAACCATTTTCCTGATAAAACATCAATATATTAAAGATGAATGGAAATAATAAAAATAGCCCTTTTTAGAGTTTCTTTCATCTTCTTACACTTCATATCAATTATGAGCCAATATATATCGTGGCCACAAGTAGACATAATCATACTTGAACACATGTAGACACAAGATATGTAGAACGTTTGACCAATTTATCGTCTGTGTGCTACAAATAATTACCCTTCTTCATTGCATTAATATTTTTTGTTTGTACTCGTTTTGTTTTAGCCATAAAGAGGAAGAACTCTTAATACGAATTGCTATCAATATCCCATGAATGTGTAACATGTACTTGTTTTAATCCTTTTGAGGAAGACGATGATGATGATGTTGTTGATGGAAAAAATTGACTTTCATTTTTCGATTTCCGTTTCTCGTTATTATGCTACACATTTCCTTTTTTCATTCCTTTACTACCTCACTCACTCTTAACTATGAATTTTTCTTTTACTTTTTGCTTCCCTTCTCTCTCTCTCCTGATGCTGTCGTTGTTGCTGCTGTCAAAAGTCTACAGTCGAAGAGTTCGACACTACCTGGTGATATCCTGCTAATTTCCTCTTTTCTGTCGTATGCTGGTTGCTTTACACGTCGTTATCGCGAAGAGTTGCAGCAGAAAATGTGGATGTCAAACTTTCGTAAAATTCAAGTGAGTATGTTATGTATAAATGTTATAGATACGAGTACTTGCAAAAATGTTTATGCTTACATACACACTCGTTTGTGGGAGTTAAAACTCTTGGCTTTTTATTTGGTTTTGTGAATTTATTCCTTCAAATTAAATTTCTTAAGCCAAAGGGCTTAATTTCAGATTTTACAAGAATGTGAAATTACATTATCACTCTTTAATAAATGACATTAGAATTTAAATTGTGAAAAGTATGCTAAGGCCTTTGGTTTCTGGTAAACGACTGATAAAGGATAATAAAAAAAAGTTGAGATGTTAATTAAGTTAGACTAGGAATAAAAGGCAAACGAATATTGTTGCTGCTTTCGGCTTTCCAAATAAAACTGGTCTTTGTTCACCAGAGAATGTAGTTTTCAGTGATCATACAAAATGACAGGAATGTTACAAGGATCTATTAGATCTACTAAAATGAGTCTTGATAAATAAATTTAGAAAATGTTCGATAAGTTCCTAAAATCTTGGAGCCGAACGAAAATTTTTCTGAAAACTTATTGTTTATGAGTCCATATTTTGGTTTTCTTAATTATTGCATTCAATATATAAATATCTTTCAGCCTCCCATTCCGCATACAGATTGTTTGGATCATTTGTCATTGTTCACCGATGATGCCCAAATAGCAACTTGGAATAATGAAGGCTTGCCAATGGATCGTATGTCCACTGAAAATGCCACTATTCTAGTGCATTCCACACGTTGGCCTCTTATGATTGATCCGCAATTGTAAGTTTAACCATAACATGACATTTTAACCTCATTTACTCTCTCCTAAATTCTCTCGTTTCTCGTTTTTCAAGACAAGGCATCAAATGGATTAAGAATCGTTTTGGGGATGCGCTCATTATTATACGTCTCACACAAAAGAATTTCCTTGACACATTGGAGAAAGCCATGTCCAATGGAGACACTGTACTCCTCGAACAAATCGAAGAAACTGTGGATACTGTACTCGAACCTTTACTCAGTCGGGCTTTGATTAAACGTGGTCGTTTCATAAGAATTGGAGATAAAGAACTTGATTTCAATCCGAAATTTCGACTAATACTTCACACAAAACTAGCAAATCCTCACTATAAACCAGAAATGCAAGCTCAGACCACACTTATAAATTTCACCGTTACTCAAGATGGTTTGGAAGAACAGCTTTTAGCGGAAGTGGTCAAAATTGAAAGACCCGATTTGGAGGAAATGAAAACGGAACTAACTATACAACAAAATAAATTTAAAATTTCCCTTAAGGAACTGGAAGATGATCTGTTGGCTCGTTTGGCCTCGGCAGGAGAAAATGTCTTGGATGATTATGAACTGGTGGCCAATTTGGAGTCTACCAAGCATACTGTAGATGAAATAGAAATAAAGGTGAATGAAGCACGTGTTACTACCCTACAAATCGATGAGGCCCGTAATATGTATAGAGCGGCCGCCAAACGTGCCGCCATTTTATATTTTGTACTCTCTGACTTAAGTCGTATAAGTCCTATATATAGATTTTCCTTAAAATCTTTTATGCATGTCTTCAGGCAGGCTATTGTAGTGGCTCCCCAATATAGACAATATGAAAAACGTGTTAGTTCTTTGGTGGACTCAATAACTTGCCAAACTTTTTATTATGCCTTAAGGGGACTATTTGAGGTTGATAAATTGACTTTTACCGCTCACATGACTTTGCGTATCTTGGCTGCTAACGAACAGATTTCTCTAGAAGAAATAGATTTTCTTTTGCGTTTTCCTCATGATCCCAATACCTTATCGCCAGTAGATTTTATAGGACGCATTGCTTGGAGTGGCATAAAGTCTTTGGCTTTAATGGATAATTTCTATGGCATAGATAAAGATATAGAAAATTATCCCAAACGTTGGCGTAAGTTCTCTACCAGTGATGTGCCAGAGAGAGAACAATTTCCGGGAGAGTGGAAGCATCGCACACCCTTGCAAAAGCTGTGTATTATGAGAGCCTTAAGACCGGATCGTGTTACTAATGCCATACGTTTATTTGTGGAACAAACTATGGGTCAAGAATATGCCCATGTAAAAACTTTTCAATTGGCGGATATTTTCAGTGAAATCAATGCAGCAACACCTATATTTTTCATACTTTGTCCGGGTGTTGATCCTATATATGACGTAGAAAGACTAGGCCTGCAATTAGGGTTTAGTACTACAAACGAAAACTTGATTAATATTTCTCTAGGTCAAGGCCAAGAAATCGTAGCGGAACAGGCTATTGCTAAAGCTTTGGATACGGGACAGCAATGGGTGGTTTTACAAAACATACATTTAGTGGCTAATTGGTTGCCAACATTGGAAAAACTTATCGAAAGCATAACTTCAGAAAGCGAACACCTTACGGAGTCCAAATTTAGATTGTTTATAAGTGCCGAGCCAGCACCTGATCCTCAGTATCACATTATACCACAAGGTATCTTAGAATCTTCTTTAAAAATAGTTAATGAGCCACCTTCAGGCATGGCTGCTAATATGCATAAGGCTTGGGATAACTTTTCCCAAGAAGCTTTAGAGACCTGCACCCAAGAAGCTGAGTTTAAGTCGATACTCTTCTCTCTATGTTACTTTCATGCTGTGGCTGGTCAAAGACGTAAATTTGGTCCCTTGGGTTGGAATAAAGTCTATCCCTTTAACATAGGAGATTTAACAATTTCCGCCTCCGTTTTACACAATTATTTGGAGGGCAGCAATCGCATACCTTGGGAGGATTTACGTTATTTATTTGGTGAGATTATGTATGGTGGTCACATCACCGATGATTGGGATCGTAGATTGTGTCAGACTTATTTGGAAGAGTTATTACAGCAAGATTTAGTAGATGGTGATATGGAATTATGTCCTGGATTTCCCTCGCCTCCTAATCTAGACTTTCAGGGTTATCACAATTATATTAATGAAATGTTACCGGCCGAATCTCCTCTGCTGTATGGTTTACATCCCAATGCTGAAATTGGTTTTCTAACCAATGCCTCGGAACAATTACTCAAAACTGTATTTGAATTGCAGCCCCGTCAATCCGAACTTAGCACAACTTGTGGTGCTCCACGTGAGGAGTTAGTGAAAATAATGGCCGATGATTTCCTAGATAAACTACAAGTAGAATTTAATCTACAAGCTTTGTTAAATCGTGTAGAACGTAAAACACCTTTTGTGGTGGTGGCCCTGCAAGAATGTGAACGCATGAATAATTTAATATGGGAAATCAAAAGATCATTGCGTGAGCTGCTGTTGGGTTTGAAAGGAGAACTTACTATAACCTCGGAAATGGAACGTTTAGATCATGCTCTCTTTTATGATCATGTACCGGAGTCTTGGACAAATTTAGCTTATCCCAGTATGTTGGGTTTACAAAGCTGGTTTGCTGATCTTTTGCATCGCATCAAGGAATTATCTTTGTGGCTTAATGATTTCAAATTGCCCTGTAGCATATGGTTGGGAGGGCTCTTTAATCCACAAAGCTTTTTAACGGCCATTATGCAGGAAAGTGCTAGAAAACATGATCTACCACTGGATCGTATGTGTTTGGCATGTGATGTTACCAAAAAAGATGTGGATAGTGTGACGTAAGTTTAAAGGAAATATATTACTGTTAAATATTGATTATATTTTTTTCTTTAGCTTACCCCCTTTAGAGGGAGCTTTTATACATGGTCTCTATTTAGATGGCGCCAGCTGGGATTGTCAGTTAAACTCTATAGTACCTCTACATCCTAAAGAATTGCTATGTCCCATGCCGGTTATTTGCATTAAATCTATTGTTCAGGAGAAACAGGATCTGCATCGTATCTATGAATGTCCTTTGTATAAGACTAGGTAAAATTCAGTATTTTTAAGATTTTAAATAAAAGATTTGATGAATGTTTTCTTTATAGATCGCGGGGCAATACTTATGTTTGGACTTTTAATCTTAAATCTCGTGAACGTCCTTCTAAATGGATTTTGGGTGGAGTAGCTTTACTGTTGCAAGCTTAACTTAACAATTCACCGATTTTAAAGCACATACTATTCTCCTAGTTCCTGTTATTATACTATAACACTTTGTAATGCACTTGACACTTGTTTGTTAATTAAAGTAACAGTTTAAAAACATTTATTCGTGTTATTTTATTTATTTTTAGTGATTGTTTTTATACACAATTACTGTAAAACGGGGCTAGTTTTATTGAGAGAGGTATGTTCTTCGATCGGTGTAAATTTTTAACCACCTGTATCTTTTCATTCCTCTTAAACAAAGAAATTTCTATTGCAATTTCATTGAGTGAAATGCCATTGAAAATTCTTTTGTCAAATTATGACCGCTCACATGGCCAGCTCACATTTTCCAATTTTTACTTTCTCTCTAGCACAATACTTAGTAAATTTGTCATCATAAAGATCACATATTCCATTTGCACTTTTTGACTCTCATCCAGGTGGCAAGAGTAAATTTCGCAAAATAGTTTATTTTATCTTAATTTAAAAAAAAAATCAAGTAAATAAAATAAAAGAAAGAACACATGTAAGATAAACTAAAATAATATTTGTGTCTTCTCTGTATCTCTTGTTGTATAGAAAGAAACAAATAACTATAAATGTGTTATAATTTATATGTAAAGATTTGAAAAAATATTTTTCATTATCAGGGTTATTTATTCACATTATTATATTAGCTAGTGTACAGTGTGTGATAAAAGTTTGCGTACAGAAAATTTGGCATAAATTTCTAGCACAGATTTGAAATTAAGAACTTAAAAGAAGTGTTAATATGAGAAAGCTTTAGATATAGGAGCTTATGTATATGAAATAATTACCAATTTCGACCAATTTCAAAGGGCTTACGACCTTACGGGCCGTTAATAGTTTAATAAACTCTTAAAGTGAGTCGATACTTTAAAGTGTAGGACCAATATGTTTGGATGTTAAAAACATCGATACGATCTTATTTTATTATGTTCTATTGTGTAGTAAATTTGTTTAAAATCTTCGTTTTAAGGTTTCTGAACTGCAAAATAATCAAAGATATAAAAGAACTTAAGAGACCTAAATAATATTCAGAGAGATCCGTTGACACTATCTGCTGATTCTTGATTGAACAACACCACGTTAACATCTCATAAACAAAGAGGTCCAATGCTGCTTAAATAGCTTTCTAATCAATTATTAGGTCAGACATCGGCAGAGAGAGTAATAAATAAGCTTTTTAAGCATACGTTAAAGTGAACTCGGGAGAGCTTTTGCAGATCATATTCAGGAAATAAACTAAATATTACCCTGCTTATGTTTCACTTTTTAAACTTACATAATGAACGCAAGAGAGCTTTTATAGGGATTTAAGTAACGATTCCCGCGTGAGGCGACATATTCAGCAAATCAGAGAGCTAAATATTGCACTGCTTAGCAGCACCATGGTCTAATGCTGCTTAAATAGCTTTCTTGTCAATTATTAGGTCAGACATCGGCAGAGAGAGTAATAAATAAACTTTTTAAGCATACGTAAATGTGAGCGCGGGAAAGCTTTAGTATATCATATTCAGGAAATATCTAAATATTACCCTGCTTATGTTATAGTTGTAATAAAAGTTTTTAAGTATTCTAATTCACCAAAAATGCGTTGTAAAAGGTATCGCTTTTTAAGCTTAGTGAGATTTAAGTAACGATCACCGCTAATTCCAATTCACCGAAAATGCATTAAAAAATGGATCATGTAACGGGACTTTTACGAGAAACAATACAGACATTTCAATTATTTTTCTCAACAATTTCTCAGTTTTGTAAATCATTTAGTAGAAAACTAAGTAAAATCGGACAAAATTTTTTATTTTATAAACAATCAGATTAATTATTTTGAGGAAAGTTACTTAGATACATTATCGCACTAACTGCACGAACACTTCATCACGCCACTGTAGTTAAATCTCAAATACACAAACCACCTCAAATATAGATAAAAACAACACTTTGGTAGCAGGCAGCAGCGGATCGTACACTCACACTTACCCTCAACGTTTAGACCATTTTCATGTGATTGTTAATGATAGACAGACAATTTTTATATTTGCTTTTTCATATAGAAATTCTAAATAATTATTACTGTTGGTAGATAGATATGTGTGCTTGTGCCCCCCCGTTATGGAAGAAAGGGGGCTAAGCAGCGTTAGGGCGGAAGAAAACGGCGAGAATACAGATCTAACAAGAAAGAATATTTTCATGACGATTTAAAATAATACAAAAAAAAAACAAACAAACATTCACACAATATTCTATATTTTACAAAACGGACAAAATAGTTTTATTCGCCCAGACATTGTCAAGACGTTTGTATGGGAATTTAAAATTTCCTAAAACAAAATATTTTATAAATTTCGAAAAAGACCAACAAAATTTTTTTGCGAAAAAAAATTAATTAAAAGCAACTTGTCAATGAAATTGAAATTTTGAATCAAGAATTATACGTGGTGTATGCAGACAAGTGAAAAAACAAGAATTAAGAAATTTTTGTATAATTTATAAAAAACTATCAATAATAAAAAAAAAAAAATAATTAAAACCGTTATTATTAATATAAGGTGAATATTTTTATTGTTAAAAAAAAACACTCATAATAAGAAAAAGTGAATCAATGTGTTTAAACACTAAACACGAACTGAACAAAGTTAAATAATTAATTTAATTGTTTTATATGTCATAACAACAAATAAAATTATTGTTAACAATTATCGTTAAAAAATAAACAGTTGTATAGGTGAAAAGCTTTTTAGAAGTTTATTTTAAATTAATAATTGTAACTAAAAGTATTAAACAGGTACTACCTCAACATAAAAGTTAAATAACAGTGAGTAACAAAAAGTTAACAATGAAATGTTGAAATGTATAACAATGATAATATCGCTGAAATTATCTCAAATTACCTTAAAATTCTAAAAAACCTAAATATGTGTATAAAAAGAAAATTATTTAAAATAAAAAGAAATCTTGTGACTATATTAAAAAAAACATAACAATAAATTTTTGATATTTTTTTTATTCGTCCAAGGTCATTGTCTTCGGTCTAAGAGCGCATTTTCCTTGTCAACTTGTTTGTCTCATTCATAAACAATTTTTCCAAAGAATATTTCAGCAAATTTTTTAATTTGGCAAATAAAAAACTATCCCTGGCCTTAACATTCAAATTATATGAGCAAGTGTATTGTTGGGTAGGTGAAATAGTTATTTCGGATATTATTATGTTTTTTATTAAGATCAATGCTTTTTGACATTCGAAGAAACCGTAAAACAAAACAGTTTTCGTTTTAACAGTCTTCGACTTTTTTCACTAGGGACTTGAAACTGCTGGTATGTCGATTCAGTGAAATCAGAGTCAGATCTTACCCGGCGGACAATATAAATCATTTTCATAACTAACCTGCAAGTTCTTTAATCGGAGAGAAAAAAGAAAACGTATCGCTCTTAATGAAAACCCCTTTAGTATTACAGTTGGTTACACGTTTTTCATTGATAAATACGATAAAGTTAAGTTGTTTTGTACAAAACTTTTATGACGTTTTTATCGTGATAAATAATTTAACAAGTCACGTTTGAAATTATTTAAAGAAAATCATTGTCAGATCTGGGTTGTTAAGTGGAAAAACACACAGAGAGTACTTAAAGTTTGAAGTAGTTAAGTTTATTATTTTAACAATTGGAAAAGTTAACGTGATGTATTTCTTGAAGCACCTCTTGACACTACTATTGTAGATATCCAAAGTATTGAGGACTGAGTAGCAGTGAATCTGACCTCAAAATTTATCCATCATCATCCATTATCAGATGGGATATTTCCACATATCGTGTCATAAAGTTTGAAAAAAACAAACGTATTTGGCCATATTTGAGACGCATCTGATAGTTCAGTCTCTCGACTTTAAAATTAAGATTTAAGATATGTTATATTTTCTTTCTTCTTCGAGATAACTTAACCGAAAGCTTACAACAATCGTAAATTTACAAAAAGGTTTAAAACATCTCTTAACTAGCGTCCGTTGAAGTTTTTGCTGTAAAATAAAGAAAATCAGACCTATTCTGAATAATAAACACGCCTGGTACCAATTTGGCACCAAACTGTTTATAACACTATGTAATGCCGACAACATTGCAACAATTCGTTGTCGAAATCTAAATTTTATACACATCCGTTGTCTAAATGTTAACAAACGTGGTAAGCTCACTATTGACAAACAATCCGTTGCCAATAGTGAGCTCACTACGTTTGTTAACATTTAGACAACGTTGCGTTGTCAACATTACATAGTGTTGTCGTACACAGAAAAAAGTTTCAGCATAAATATTATGAACTGCTTTCATTGACTAAAGTTAATAATATTTAAGAATAAGTTCCTAAATTGTATGAATTTTTTCATTTTTATATTTTTAAACATAATCTAAAAGCCTTGACTTAAAATATTAAAAATTTTCTTTATATTTTTCTGTTTGTTAAAAAATGTTTGAAATTTTCCTTAGAAAATTTTTTATTTCTTTATGATTATTAGATTGAAAACAATGAAATATGCGCGTAACATGCAACATTTTCTGAAGAATGGATGTTTAGCTATATGCTGGTTTTCATATTTTGTTTTCCAGCATTTTTATTTATTTATCATAAAAATTCGCTAATATGTGATTATTTTCTAAAAAATGGAAGATATTAATAGGTAACGGTTATTTACTTATTGCATTTTTTATGAAAATCAAAGAAAATGAACAAAAAAACAAAAAAATCTTTCATGTACAAATTCATACATTTTATGAACTTTTAATATTCTGAATGAAAATGGTTTGGGAAAAAAAAGTCATGTTCGATTCATTCAATTTATTTCAAAATTCATTCCAAATATGAATTATTTTTTTCTGTGTACGTATGTATATACTTTTACAACGGATGTTATTGAAAAATTATAAACTCTTTGGTGTCAATTTGGTACCAGGCGTGTATATTTCTTTTATAGTAGTTAAACCTTTATTTTGAAGTCGACAGATTGGACTTTCAGATGACATAACAGATTTTTCGCGCTGGTATAGCGTTTTAAATATTAATGGTCAAAAACTTTTTTCAAACTTCATGACATGATATGACCTGATGTAATGGATAAATTTTGGGAACAGATGCTGCTCAATCCTTTAGAAAAGTATAAATTTAAAACCATTTGTTATTTAAACAATAGTGGGCTTCATCCATTATGCAATCATTCAAATGAAATGTGTATTAATTTTGGAAAGATTGACTTCAAGAAAAGTATATTTTAAAGTTTACCCCTAGTAGGCAAGTTAGTCTGTCAGATTAGAGGTCATGGGTTCTATTCCAAACAAAGACAAGGCCAAGATATATTTCTTCGGATTTGATGCAATACAGCCTACTGACAAAGTAACAAAGTATTGGAATAAACACCATTCTTTTTAGGAGTAGGCTGAACTTTTTGGGTGTGAAATGAATCTATACAATTCTATGCTCTATTAAATTTTGAATATCTGGAAAAAATAGATACATAAATGTTATAACACTGATGAATTTCTCTTTTTATTGGGGATTTACAACGAGCACATGCTTAAAGCTTAACTAAAAATACTCGTTGTGGTTTTGAGATTCTCGCCAAAATGTCGTTGGTGAAAATAGAAGTGATATAGTTTTACGAATGAATCATTTCTACAGAGTGATATAACATATATTAAAGAAGAATTTTGTTACTCATTGATTTTCTATGGCATTAAATCAGAGGAGCGCAAGATTGCCATTACATAGCACGCGTGATAGGGTAAGAAAATTCTGCTGACGCTAAGTTGATACACATACACTATAGGTTTAATTCTTCTTCTTTTTATAATGAGCAATATCAGTTGGTTTGCTCTCAACTTAAAAAACTAAATCAAATCAGTTGCTGATCAGCACTTGTCGAAGTAAGGTCTGTACGCGACGTTTTTAAAATACACACAGAAATACAACAACAAAATTTTGAGAAAGCCGAATTAATGTAGGAGAACATGAGAGAACAGTTGATAGTTTTTTATATATAGACTTTGATATACGCTGGCTGTCAAAATCCATAATAAATATTTGACAGTTAGCATATGCTTTATAGTTTATAGTCATTTTATTAGTATACTTTTATTTTGAATTGAATTCTGTTCTCTGCTGCTTTACCAACACAAATAAAACTATGGTAGTCTATGGTAGTATGTGTTTGAGCAACACTGCATTAAATCTATAATAATTGAGAAAAAATAAAAATGTCACGAACAGAATTCATTTGCATTCAAAGGCTATAACTTTAATTATAAGTAAGTTTCTCTATAATTTGGATTTATTAAGTGATCTGGAAATTGATGTGATCTATATCTCTTAAAAAAGAAAACGGAATTGTGCCAAATTATAACTCTTTAAAAAACTATTTTTGAGATTCTATCGAGAGCAAGATCATTTGGAAGCTACTATAGATCTTCAATTCTTGCTTATGCTTGTGCGAGTGTAACAGGAGAGCGTTTTTATTGGAAAATAACCCATTTTTTCAAATCGAGTTAAAATTGAATTTTCTATAAATAACTTTTAAATAAAATTTGTCTAACCTACGAATGATTTTCCATGACACTGAAAAAATAACTTTTTCGCCAACCCAACAATTGATCTGCCAAAAATAATATGACGAGGCACGCTCTCACAATTAGTGTATATAATTGATATTCTATACTTTTCATGTCATTTTTGCAACTACACATCAACATTGCAGCAATGTCAGGTTCAAAATTTTAAATATTTACAGTAAACAAAATAAAAACAATTTTATCAAACAGATAAAGAAAATTACGAAGGAATTTAAACTTAGACTTTTCAGATATGAAAAATTTAGTTCGATCACAACTGTAAATTTAAATCTCTTAACATAATTTCTGAGTCAACTTATTCAAAACTTTTTACTGAAAACAAAAACTAATCACAATTTCTTTTTCCCCCCAGCTAATGTCTAAACCAGGATCTATCAAAAAAAATTACAGCGAACATAGTGGTGAACCTGGCTGTGCCACTGCGGGAGAAGTTAACAAATTCTTTAGACATTTCTGGGATCCCACATCATATTGGGAATGCGAGGAACAAGGCAAACCAGCCACACTTAAACGTTGCGGTGCCTCCGAATTGTATTCGGACAAACATGGAAAATGTGTTCACTATAGAGAATGGGAATGGACCGAACCTATAGAACCACCAAGTCGTCCAAAGACACAATAATATAATATTTTAGTTAAATGGTTGTTTATTTAATATACTTAGCAAAAATAAATAAATAAAACTACATTATAAGTTCGTTTTATGTTTTTTTTTTTATTTGAAAGTAAAAAATAAGATCTCTTTTCTATGTATGTATTTAATACATTTATACAAAAAAAAAACTAATTAAATGAAATCATTTATTACAAAAAAAGCAGCACAAAGAATACTTGAACCAAAATTTGGAATGTTAACTTTTTTTCTATAATTTTCTTCTAAAGACCGTAACCCAAAAAAAAAAGAACAATAATATAAATAATCTTAATAAACTGTTTTAGTTTAAAATGTATCAACCTGATGTTAGTGACTTTTTATACGCTTAAGTTATTGAGGAGTTTTTTTTTATGGAATTAATTCTCTAAGAACAGTTTAAAACATAAACATGGCAGAATTACTAAGTTTCTGACAGTTTTGTTGAGCTTTCATTGTTAATGTTTAAATTATTAGTCACAAGCTTAAAGCTTTCGTTGTCGTCGTTATGAGTAAGTTTATGAAGAGCTCAGCTTAAAATCCATTTGGAGTTGAGATGAAAATGATGTTTGGATTATCGACGTTGTAGATGATGTTGTTAATAATTGCAATATGATGAAAGTGAATGTTTAAAATTCTACATGTTCGCCATGTTTGGTTATGACTTTCATTTTTTCCTGTTTAGGAGCGGGAATGTCACTAGGAATGTTTTCTTCTACAGGAGCAGGATTTTTGGGTGGCACACGAGTGCTGCTGGCCGAAGTCTTTCTAGTGGTGGTGGTTGTGGGCGCTTTAGTAGTGGTTGTTGTTGTGGTGGTTGGTTTTGGTGTAGTGGTAGTTGTGGGCTTTGGTGTAGTTGTTGTGGTAGGTTTTGGTGTGGTGGTGGTTGTTGGCTTAGCTGTGGTAGTTGTTGTAGTGGTAGGTTTGGGTGTGGTTGTTGTTGTGGTGGTGGTGGGTTTTGGTGTGGTGGTTGTTGTGGTTGTAGGCTTAGCTGTAGTGGTGGTAGTCACTTTAGGCTTAGCAGTTGTTGCCTCCTTGGGTGGCTTTACCACGGGTTCCATGCCAGCACCTTCATAACGTACATTACCAATCTTAACTGTGGGCTGTTTAGCGGGTTTAGGGTTCTTAACACGAGCCAAGAAACGATTGAAAGGTGAACCCAACAAAAGATTGTCATTGAATTCCAAAACATGTGATACAGATCCAACACTCTTATCAAAACCATGTAGAGAGCCAACAATATGACCATTCCAGTCAACACGCACAATAGTAGAGCGCTTAGGCGACAACAATTGAATACTTTCACCATGACCAATAAAGTGAATAAAACGTTGAGCAATCTTATTGGGATAAGCATTGTTGATTAGTTTGAAAGGCAACTCCAATAACGCCAACATGCGAGCCAAGAACAAACGAATGCTGGGGAAACGTGAGAACATGGTAAAACCACTGGGATGTTCACTATCTGTAGCCATGACCAAAGGTACCCAAATACCCTCAGCATCGGGAGTCAAATTGTCTGGATGTCCAGGTAATCCTTCAACGAATACCTCACTCTTGCCAGCATTGCTGCCCTTTAACCAGTATTTAGTCAAACGCAAAGCTCCGGTCTCAGCTACCACAATAAAATCTTCCTCGGGACTCAAAGCAACACCGTTGGCAAAGAACAATTCGTCCAATAATAGTTTACTCTCGTTCTTGACGCGGTCATATTTGAAGAGACTGGAATATAAGTTGGGTTTTTCTTTATTTTTTGTGTTGTAATTAATATGGACACCAAGCAAAACACGGAAACATAAAATAAGCCAATTGTTTAATTTTTTTTTACATAAAACGTGCGATTTTTTCGGTTATTTACACATGTATATGAAATGTTAGTTTATGCGGAATTAGGTAATATTTAAGTAAATTAAAATGTTAACTTTTATGTTTAAACTTTTCAAAATTAATGAATATACCAATTTTTTGTATTAGATGTATTTTTCACTATGGACGAATATGGACTACACTATTGGCTAGTTTATGGTCTAAACTTAGGACTAGACTAGCTGGATTAGTCTACTGAGTAGAATATGGAGTAGTCTACTGAGTAGACTATGGAGTAGTCTACTGAGTAGACTATGTACAAGTCTACTGAGTAGACTATGTACAAGTCTACTGAGTAGACTATGTACGAGTCTACTGAGTAGACTATGTACTAGTCTACTGAGTAGGCTATGTACTAGTTTACTGCCTAGACTATGGACAAGTATGTGGTCAAGACAATGGACTAGTCTTCAAGTCTATGGACAAGTTAGTGGAATAGTCTATTGACAGGTCTATAGAAAAGTCTACGTACTAAATTGATTTTAGTAAATAAACTATTGACTAATTTATTGTGTTTTATGGACAATAAATTAAACAGTTTATTGACTATTTCGCTCATTTTTATAATATAGAAAAAGTAGAATACATTCTTAGTTGAACGTATACTTAAAAGTGCGTCCTTTATATTACGCTAAAGGCGCTGTGGAAGTGTACATCATTAATACGAATCAGAAAGTTATTATCTGCTGATTTGAAATATCATAGTGAAATATAACTTTCAATAGTTACTGCTACCTTTTACTATCTTATATATTTATATATGTAGTTGTAATTACTCTTACAACTAACTCAAGTGTTTAAGGTGCATTGAACTGTATGCCTTTCTTAGCAATAAAATAGTTTAGTTTGATAAGCAACTACTAAATCTATATATTTACAATAATTATAATATTTAAATTAATTGCTATCTACTAAAAAGCACAATCTTACTATGCCCTTATAAGGTTCATCAAAACAATTAAAATAAAATAAAAATGAAAATTTAATAAGCATCATTATAAAAACAACTCTACGCCATAAGAATTTATATTAAATTTGTTATCTTAAAATAAAACATGTAGCAATTAGTCATAGTATTAAAATATATACATTATTAAATATAAACATTTAAATATATGTACATATTTAACATAAATACACAAAACTTTGCAAATACAAAATTGTTAATAATTTCAATAGATTTTTGAAAGAAAAAAAAACACAAATAATAGTTAAGAAAACAACAAACAAAAAGCAATTAAGCAAACATAAAAACAACAAACAGTTAAGAAAGACATATGTATGTTTTCTTTGATGGAGAGAATTTAGAATTAAATGCAAAGTATAATCTTATCGCCACGTAACAAATAAGCTTTTAAAAACAACAAAATGGGAAATTTGTTGGTGTGTATTTTGGGAGGATGATAACAATGGTTATGATGATGCAGACTTTGGTTAAAGTTAAAGAAAGGTTAGGTTGTTAGTGTGTTTATTTTTAGGTGTGTGTAAATAAAAAAATAAAAATTATAAACAATAAATATAAGCAAATAAAGAAATTATTAGAATATATAATTTTTGTTAAGATGATTAAAAGGGAATAAATTATTAAAATAACAAAAAAAAACAAAACACCATTAGTTCTATAAAGAATTAAATAGAAATTTAGAAATTTGCTAAAAAAAACTGCAAATCTCAAAAGAATTGATTTTTCTTCAAAAATAGATTTTCTCTAAAATTTAGATTTTTCTCTAAAATTTAGATTTTCTCTAAAATTTAGATTTTTCTCAAAAATTTAGATTTTTCTCTAAAATTTAGATTTTTCTCTAAATAATTGATTTTATAAAAAAAAACATAAAATCTTTGATTTTTACTAAAAAGTTGATTTTTTTCTAAAACGCCGATTGTATTTTTCTCAAAAAAATAGATTTTTCTTCAAAAAAAGAGATTTTCCTCTAAAATATAGATTTTTCTCTTATAGTTGTTTCTATATTTAGATTACATTATTCCCTAAAACGCCGATTATTACCTAAAACAATATTTAATAAAGATATAAATTTGTAAATTTTTTCAACACAAATAAAATTGTCAAAATGGGGACATAGATATGAACCATTTCAATCCGTTTCAATAAAGTTTATCTTTAGTACAATAGAATGTCATTAATCAAACCGTCACCTTTAATCACTAAATCGACTTAAAAAAAAGAGTTCCGATTATTTCCGTCAGATCAATATTTCTTTGCATTACTAATTTCAAATTTGATGTCGAACTTAGGGGCCATCATTTGAAGGTTAATTACTTCCTAATTTTAAATCAATATATAACCTCTCTAAAGCGACAACAAATTATGACTTTCTTTTTAATAAAATGAAACTAGTTTAAAATGTAATAATTATGCTACACAAGGGACAAAATTAAGAACTAAATAGGTTATAATTATAACTGTAACGGATATGATTAATTAACTAAAATAGTGTTTACTATGTACAACAAAGCACAATGGAGCACAAAGAAAGCATATACACACCAAAAACGATTTAATAAAACATATTATAACAAGCCACTAATTTGTTAGTTATTTTTGCTCTAAACACCAAATTATAAGAAAAAAACAATAAAATATTTATTTACTCACCGTCCCGAGGGATTGGCAAAGGTGGTGAATACCAAATCTTGTATGGTAAAGTCAGAAGAAGAGTCAGTCCAATAAATGTTACCCTGTTTGTCAACAGTGACAGAATTGAAAGTTTTAGCTTTACGATTATTATTGTCTTTGCCCGGCAATTCCTGTTGGGGTGAAACCAATAATTTCTTTTTGTTCGAGATGAGATCAACTTGCCACAAGCCATAGTAGGCATCAGCAATTAATAAATTATTAGCCTGGCTATCGAAAGCCAAGCCTAAGGGACGACCACAACGAGATTCTTCAGTAATATCTTCTGCAAAACAAAATAAAATAAAAACAATTGTAGTATTTTCATATCGCAAACATTAAGTCCCACTTACCGCAAGGTTGTCCAATTTTGGTAACATGTGTAACATGACCGGCATTCATTTTAATCACCTCGCCGCCGTGTATGCCCATGTAAATGTCATTCTTGCGGGCAATCAAACATTCAGGACCATAAACGCGTCCCTCTAACAAACGGTCGGCACCCTCTAAAATGGCATTAGGTTCCAAGGCACCACTTAAAGCTTTGGGAGGAGCCACTCTATAAAAT